GGCTGCGTGGGGGAAGTGGTGGGACTGGTGAGGCCAGAGAGCTCAGCAGAGCTTTGAATGCCAGGCTAGAAGCCCAAAGAACACAGGGGAGCCTACAGGGCCCAGAGCTCTCTCCCTCCTGCCCTGGAGGAGAACCTGCATTTTGTTTCCACCCTCCTCTGGCCAGTGGACTGCTGCCCTCCCCTCCCCACTCCCCAGCTCACCAGGGCTACAGTGTTTCCCAGCTGCGTCCTGGAAGAGGCTCCTGGAGACCATCCCTTTGTGCAAGTAAATGTCATCCCCACTGGGTGGGCCATCCCTTCTTGGGCTTCCAGCCCAGTGGGGTCTAGGAGCCAAACAAGGGGAAAGATGACAGAGTGGGTAGTAACGCAAGGCAGGACACTGAGCTGCTTTCCTGTGTTTTTTCCTTCCTCAGTCCACGGTGGCCATTCTCATGATCCTGGCTGTTCCTCGCCTGCTCCTGCTGGATCCAGAATGGCCCTCTGGTGCTACTGCCTCCTAGCCCTCCTGGTACTTGAACTTCTGGGAGGCAGGACTCAAAGCTGCTAGGGTTCCAAGTGGCCAACTCACATCACGAGGTCAAGGCAGAGGTCACACACGCTAAGCCCTTGGCATAGAAATAGAATAAAAACATCCTTTGGGTGCTAGGAAACAGGCTCAGGGCAATGAAGTGATCTGCCCAAGACCACACTCTGGGTGAACCCTGCAGAGCCTGCAGCCTCCACTGCACTCTGCTGGAGCACACAGTAGGCAATCAATAACTGCACAGATGGAGGTAGGAACATGACTCAGACACCACCTGTCTTCTTCTCTCTCAGATAAGGAGTCTCACTGGGACCCCTCCCAACTCCCCAGGTGAATCAAGGAACCCTTGGGTCACAGGTTGGTATGAGGGATGCCTCAGAGAGGCTCCCCCTTCCTCCAGCTCAGCCAGCCCGTGGTCCATGTGCTGCACTGGCCTCAAATGCAAAAGAAAGGAAGAGATGCCATTTTGTTTTGCTTCACCATACCAGGCCCTGGGCTGAAAGTTTCACTCATGTCCATCTCATTCCTGCCACTATACAGATGACAAAACAGGCTCAGCAAGGGGACAAAACTTGCTAGGTCACAGCATAGCCATGTTTCATCCATCCCCAAATTTCTCCAGGCCCTGTGTTTCTGGCCCTGCCCACCCCACTCACACCGCAAGGGTGGGATGCCCACACGCTGCTCTCCCACACAGACCCTCCTTTTGCTCTGCAGCTCCAGTGGCCCCTGGAGAGGTAGTAGAGACTACAGGCGGGGTGTGCAAGTTTCCAGGGCAGCGACTGAGCTGGTGGCAGGCCCAAGAGTCTTGCGAGCAGCGGTTTGGCCACCTAACACAGCAGCACCCAGATGAGGTCTTCGCGCGACGGCTGCCCGACCCCATCTGGGTGGGCCAAAGACAAGCCCCTCTGCGAAGACCCCCACAGAGGCGTGAGTGTGTTATGGGGTCTGGGAGGTGAAGGTGTGCGGGGAGAGGTTTTGGTTACCTCGAGATGAGAACCCACCGTGACAGTCCTTGCAGACTGAGCCCAAGAAGAAGCGCGTGTCGCATCTCAAATTCCCTTGTCTAGGACTGAGAGTAGAGGGTTGACTCTGAGCACGGGCGCTGGAGCCTGCCTTTCTTCCTTCTTGAGGAAGGGAGGCACCTGAAGCCCAGAAGGGGCCCTACAGCTGCGCCACAGGGTCGTCGGAGGCAGGACGGTGTGCGCAGCTGGGGGAACTGAGGTTGCA